AAAAAACCTTTTTTGAATCGATTGTTAGTTTTGTACTGGTGGACATCGAGCTTTGAAGTGATCGCGAGCTTTGTGCCCCTGACTGAAATTCCAAAATTCATCTGCTAAAAGTTTACCTATCAGGCGATGACTAACCTTCGTATTGGGTTTGACCAAGGAGCTAAATGAGATCTGCCAAAGAAGGTTTAGACGTTCTTCCTCTAACCTTTTTGCTCTAAATTTAAAAGAATCCACCAGCAACATTGATATCAAAAGGACGGAAGTTTGTCTGGTTATAAGTCGACAAAAAAAATTACCTGATAACATAGGCTACTGAGGCCACTACTAGTCCAATAAGTACAACTCCAGCTGCCACAGATCCAAGTGTTATGGCCAGATATTGTTCAGTAAATGAAAGTGGACAAGCTTTTCTGCAGAATGATGATTTGTTTCAATACTGATCTATCTGCACAGATAGTTTACTCACCCGTCAAAACCGCAGAAGGGTTTATTTAAAGGAGGTGAACCTCCATGATTGGCCCATATTACAGACTTTGGTTGCATTTCTTGTATCTGCATGTGATGCTCAGCATAAGGAAAGATATACCAAAGAGTATAGCATGCAACTGAACTTACAGTAACGTCATCAATCTTAAGTGTTCCAGTAATCTGCATCATAACAATTTGTTGATCCGTTGAATTTAGTCCCCACAAGTAGAACACAGGATCACGAGAAAGGTTTTGGTTGATTATAACCGTACCAGTAAAGCCTAAAAACAGAAGGTACAAAAAGATAAAAAAAGTGTAGAAGTTGGGCATACCTTCAAACGTCCCAACAGCGAACCGCGCTATGTCGGTGCCAGTCGGCTTTGCGATACCAGAGGCAAGAGCCTTATTCAACGATAAGCCGTACAGCAACATTGCATCGGCAAGCTCACCTACTTGCGAGACTGTCTGCAAAAGTTTTTATGCATCCCTTAACGAATATAGACCTTTACAGAGCTTCACAAACCGGGTCGATATCTGTGCAATCATTGCAATTATACGGTGGCTGCTTCATTTTTCCCTTAACATCAGCAACAAACTGAGCTGTTGAATTCAGAGGTTCGGAATCTAACTGCAAGAATTATTTTTTAGAATAAGAACAACCGGCGTAAAAGCAGAATTCATACTATCAAGAAC